TCTGGTTCTGGGAGGTTGACTTTTTCAATTCCACATATAACTGAGATCATAAAGTATTTGTCTTCCTGTGTCTGGTTTATTTCACTTAGCATACTATCCTCCAGGTTTATCAATATGTTGAAAAGGTAGGATTCCCTTCTTTCTTATAGCTGAATAATATCCCATTGTGTCTACATATACATTTTCTTTATTCATCCATTAACAGACACTAAGTTGTTTCAATATCCTGGAATTATCCATATACTGTGAATAACGCTGCAATGAATATGGGATATCATACTGATATGATATCATACTGATATCTGAGATACTGATTTCATTTCCTTTAGACATATATCCAGGGGCGCCTGGGTGGTTCAGTAGGTTGAGCGTCCAACTCTGGATTTCAGCTCAGATCATGATCTCACAGCTCATGAGATCAAGGCCCATATCAGGCTCTGCTCTGACAGCGTGGAGTCTGCTTGGGATTCTCTCATTCTCTTTCTCTCTCTCTGCCCCTCCGCCACGCACACTCTCTCTCTCAAAATAAGTAAACAAGTATTTTTTAAAAAGATATATATCCAGAAGTGGGATTGTTGGATCATATGGAAATTCTATTTTCAATTTTTGAGGAATTCCCATATTATTTTCTATAATGGTTGTACCAACAGTACAGAAGGGTTCCCCTTTCTCCACACCTTTGGCAATACTTGTTACTTTTTTTTATCTTTTTGATAACAGTCATCCTAACAGATGTGAAGTGAGTCTCACTGTGGCTCTGATTTGTACTTTCCTAATGATTAGTGAGGTTGAACATCTTTTCATACACCTCTTGGCTATTGAAAAAATCTGTTCATTCTTAAATCAGACTTTTAATTTTTTTGCTATCAAAGTATGTAAGTTTCTTATATATTTTGGATCAGATAGATGGTTTACAAATATTTTGTCCCATTCCACAGGTTATCTTTTCATTTTGTTGATTGTTTCCTTTGCTGTGCAGAAGCTTTTTAGAGATAGTCCCACTGTTTATTTTTGCTTTTCATACCTATACTTCCAGTGTCATATTCAAAAAATCACCACCAGAACCACTGTCAAGGAGTATTTTTCCTATGTTTTCTTCTAGAATAAGTTTTATGGTGTCAGGCCTTAATGTGAGTATTTAATCCATTCTGAATTAATTTCCAGTATTTCAGTTTATAAACTGTATTTCAGTTTATTCTTCTGCATTTGGATATACAGTTTTCTGAACACCATTTACGGAAGATGCTATCTCTTTCTTCATTGTGCATTCTCGGAGCCCCTGTCAAAGATTAATTGACTTTATATGTGTGTGTCCATTTCTGGGCTTTCTATTCTATTCCACTGGTTTGTTTTTATGCCAGTGTGACACTGTTTTGATTACCACCTTTGCAATATAGTTTGACATCGTGAAGCATGACGCCTTCAGCTCTGTTCTTATTTCTCAAGGTTTGTTTGGCTATTTGGTGCCTTTTATGATTCCATATGAGTTTTAGGATTTTTTTTTCTTTCTTTTTTCTTTTAATTTTTTTAACATTTATTCATTTTTGAGAGACAGAAACAGAGTGCGAGTGGGGGAGGGGCAGAGAGAGAGGGAGACATAGAATCCGAAGCAGGCTCTGAGCTCTGAGCTGTCAGCGCAGGGCCCAATGTAGGGCTTGAACCCACAAACCATCAGATCATGACCTGAGCCGAAGTCGAACACTTACCCGACTGAGCCACCAAGGCACCCCGGATTTTTTTTTCTATTTCTGTGAAAAATGCCATTGGAATTTTGGTGGGAATTTATACAAGGATTGCACTGGATCTGTAGATCTATAATTCTACATAGAAGATAATTAGGGAAGTAAAAAAAGATGGTGGAAGTGTAGCAGAAGAAATCTGAGTGACTAAAGTACTGAAGTGAAGTCTGACTTACCAAAGGCCTGAGCACAGAGTGGAAACTGAGCAGAGAGGAGTGGAGGGTTTCCGGAGATGAGGGTAATCTTTTTCTTTTTAATGTTTGTTTGTTTAGAGCATGTAGAGGATGGGCAAAGAGAAAGGGAGACAGTGTCAGAATCCCAAGCAGGCTCCATGCTTGTCAGCACAGAGTCTGATGGGGGGGTCTCATCTCACCAACTGTGAGATCATGACTTTAGCCAAAGTCGAGAATCGGATGTTCAACTGAGTTACTCCAGGCGCCCCTGAGATGAGGGTAATCTTACATGTGATATCTTAAAGAAAGAGGAGGACATAGGAAATCTGGCTGATGACTTACCTAACAATAAACAATATAAGTCCAACAGATTTGTTGTAAGTGCAGGCATATTTTTCCCTAAGTGCTAGCAAAGAGACAAGTTAAAATGAGTACATTAAGTGAAATTGGTGGGGTGCGGGGGCGGGGAGGAAGGAGATTAAATTCCATTCTCAGGAGCTGGTATCTCATGTTAAAATCAACTTAAAGTTAACACAGGACTCTGGAACCAGAACTAACATTTCAGGAAGCTGATCTTTACTACCATATGTGAGAATTAAGAGGGGAGGTCAAGAGCCAGGGAGCTGAGATGTTCACAGTGAGGTGACACACAAAGAGTTTGAGCTACGGCTTCAGGAGGGAAAAGAAAAGAGAACCAAATTCCATACTAACAACAGAACCAAAGAGCCATCAACCTTGTAGTCATGAGGGTGGTTCTGGTTCCTAAATTCTGCAAAAACTACATTGTGTCTTGACCGTATGTTCCAGTTAACAGCCAAAAACAGGATGTGGATAAAAATAAGACACCTCTTAGCTGTCACCCGCTTCTTCAAATAAGGCAATTATTACAAATTTAGCACACATGCAGATGTTCATGAATGTGGGAAGAAATTCTACTTAGAACAGAAACTTCCCTCATTACTCAAGGCTTCAAAGAACCAGTTTCTTTTTTTTCTTCCTTTTTAATGTTTACTTATTTATTATGAGAGGGGGGAGGGAGAGAGAGAGAGAGAGAGAAAATCCAAGCAGGCTCCACACTGTTAGCATACAGCCTGACTCAGGGCTCAATCCTATGAACTATGAGACCATGACCTGAACTGAAATCTAGAGTTGGGGGCTTAACTGACTGAGTCACCCTGGTACCCTCAAAGGACCAGTTTTGAAATACTTCTGAGGACAGACCAAAGGCAACTATTAAAACCTGATTAAATATTTAGTAAAACTATTTCAAGTAGTAACTGGTATGTTTTAGTATTATTCAGGTACAATATATATTCAGGTACATATATATATATGCTGACCTATACTTGTGATCAGATTTGGAATGTCAATATGTAACATTCGTGGGGCACCTGGGTAGCTCAGTGGGTTGAGTGTCTGACTCTTGATTTCGCTCAGATCATGATCTCAAGGTTTGTGAGATCGAGCCCTGAGTTGGGCTCTGTGCTGTGGAGCCTGCTTAAGATTCTTTCTCTCTCCCTCTCTCTCAGCCTCTCGTTTGTTCTCTCTCTCTTTCAAAATAAATAAATAAAGCTTAAAAATATATGTATAAAACATTCTTACTCATGACTGTCCTGAACTAAATGTTTGTCTCCCTTAAGATTCTTATATTGAAGCCATAAACCCCATGTGATGGTACTGGGAGATAGGGTCTTTGGGAGGTAATTAGGATTAGAGGTGGTCATAAGGGTGGGGTCCTAATGATGGAATTAGTGGCCTTGCAAGGAGAGACATCAGAGAGCTTTCTGGAGCACATGAAATTGTTCTGTCTCCTTCCCTGTCATATGAGGACACAAAGAGAAAGAGGCCATTTGTAAGCCAGGAGAAGGGCTCTTCCCAGAACCTAACCATGCTGTAACCTTCATCTTGGGCTTATAGCCTCCAGACTACTAGAAAATAAATTCCTATTAATCAAGCTACCTAGTCTATGGTTTCTGTTATGGCAGGCCAAGTTAAAACAGTGATAAAGAGCACAATGTAAATATTAAATTATTTTTAAATTCCAGTAATTTTTAGCAGGTCTTAAGAATGGTTTTAGATTTACAGAAAATTTTTACTGATTAGTACAGAGAGTTCCCTTATCACCTGCCCTTTTCTCCCTCTCTACCCACATGTGGTTTCCCATATAATTAGATGCTCATTAAAATGCTCATACCACAGGAGAGGCACACCAGGACGAGGAGCAACTCAGCAATGACACCACAGCCACCTCTCTCCCACCTCAAATTAACTAAGGGACATGCTTAGGACAAATGGCCCTTGAATGAGATGCCTACAGAGAAGTTAAGTTGTATTTTTTTTCCCTCTCGTTGTTTTATTTTAGAAGAGTGAACATGCCAAATTTTTATGCTTTAGAAGCAAGTAATTTGCAGCTATATGGTTTTATGTCCTGCATTTAAAGGCCTCCGGCAATGGAGTCAGATCTCTCTCCCCAGGTCCAAGGCTCCTCCGTGTCTGGCCCTGCCCAGCACTGGCACACCTACTGAATCTCTCTCCCTGCTGTGCTAATTCTTCTGCCTGTTACACCTGTGCACTCGCCTTACCCCCTAGACCCAAATTCTACTCAACTGTCAAAACCCATCTATTCCACAAAGTCTTTTCAAACCGATACTGTGTTCTCCCCTTTGTTCACTTCTTCGATATCTACATGATTAGCAGGCCAGGGTTTATCACTTAATCATTCTCTAAATGTTAGAGTAAGGGCCTCTTTAGAGTAAGGACCATGGCTTACAATACTTTTTTCCCCCACCACCTCGTGGTACAACTCTGGAGATATAGTGCTTGATCAATAAATATATAGCTGATTACTAGCTGGAACACAGAAAAGGCAAGTTTTACACAAATTGTTTGATCTGCTCAAATTTTTAGAGAAAATTACCTTAAAAAATTAAAATGACTCTAAAAACCCTAAAATTACCAAAATGTGAGAGCCTGGGCCCAATGCCACAAGCAGAGGTTTTCAATGATGTAACTCTTAACCTTAGCAGGCTTTCCAGATTCATGAACACTCACTCACTGTAAAGGAAAGCAGATGTTAATAAAGACATACCGTCTGAGGTTGTAAGAATCTTCTTGTCTTTGGGCGCCAAAGCATGTCCAGCATGACTGATAACCCAAACTGGAAAGTGTCTGTTTGTTAAGGAGTACAGAGTCTTTGCAAATGGTACATAAAAGGAACAAAAACCTGGATTACCTAAGAAAAGAAACACAGATCTTAGTTAACCAAAGCTAAGCTCACATAAGAAGATGTGCAGAGTGGAAACAATGGATTTATCCTCACACTTTCTTCTACAAATCTACTCACATTGACACATACACTTCAATTTTAATATCCTTTCTGCCTTAAGTCTGGGAATAATCGCTCAGAAGATTCCTGCTCCTGCTTTGTTCTCCAACTGTTTCAAGATAAATTCTTCCTCCCTATTCCCTAATAAATGGAGCCACCAACCCTACACCAAATGCTCAAGTACTAACACCAGGTTTGTCCCTGTTCTTCACAGCCAATTCCCTAGTAAGTCCTGTGAACTTTGCTTCCAAAATACATCCTTACACTGTCTACTTCTCTCCATTAGCATTATCACTTCCCATCAAGTTTTCTGCACTAGTCTCCCAATGGGAGTTCTGGCTACTCTTGTCCCCCGGGAATCCATTCTTTAGGTACCCAGAGAGATACCCTCAAACTTCAGATCAATCATAGCTGTATCCTATTCAAACACCTTACACTGGCTTCCCATTATCATCCTATTGGTTTAAAGTCATTAATCCTGCCTCTAAAGCCCTTCAAGATATTATTCTGCTCAGTTACCAAGCTGCATGAAAACAAATCAGTGTAAGAATCATTCACAAAGCGTACTTTAGGAGTGTACTGAGTGTTTCCTTGTCATTTATCACAAGTACTTCTATTGTAAACATATGTATAGTTTGACCTTTTGGGAAAAAGACCACCAACATATAGATTTTTCTTGTGTATGTACAGAAGGTATTTTTGACATGGGCTTGCTATAGAGAAACAGAATGAATAATAACCTTTTAGAAAAAAGAGTCAATCTGATATATCTTAGGGGGAAATGACAGTGAAATGGGGTTTCATCTTGCAGTCACCATCTGTATAATGCTTTCACAGACACTAGTTCATTTCCAGCAATATCTATTGTACAATTTATTATTTTTTCATGCTATTAGGTTTCTCTTCTTTGTAATTAGATGACATGGTTTTGTTGCACTGATATAACCTCTGCCACCCTTGTCAAATGACATTGATTTCTTCATCATTTCAGTTTTCTTGACAGGGAATGTAGCAAAGCAGTTAAGGGCAGACTCGGGAGCCAGACTGTGGGAGTTGGAATCATGGCTTTGCACTTATTAAGTGTGTGACCTCTGGAGAGTTATTTAACCTCTCGAGCCTTGGTTTCCTTGTCTTCAAAATGAGGATAATAACTGCACTACCTAATGTGAGAACTAAGTGAATTAATAAAGGTAAAGCACCTAAACACTGCTCGATGCGAGTGCTGTATAAATGTTAGCTACTCAGACGTGTCATGGCTAGCAATGGCGGTAAATGGTCTTGTCGTCCATATTGCTAGTCTGCTTCTGTTGCATTCAGACCTAGTGACTTGAGTTCTAAATTCCTTTTTGTAACTGTGCCAGTGACATCTTTGTTAAATAATACAGAAACTTCTTTAAATGCAGTAATATGTTCTCTGGTCAGCTGACTGGCTGACGAAGAGAGGAGGGATGTACAGCACTGGGGCTATAACATCTAAGGTGGGTGTGGGCAGCACTGTTTCATGTTTTATATTTAAATCTTTAATAAGTTTGGAATATTTTTTAGTATCAAGTACAAAGTAGCAATCCAACTTCTTTCCAAATGATTAGCCAAGTGCCCCAAGACCATTTATTACATAACCCATTCTTTCTGCATTGATTTGAAATGTCTTCTGAATTCAACCCTGAATTCTTACATTTGCTTGCTAATTCTGATTCCAAATAATTCCATTTATTTTTTCCTTTTCTCCTCTGCCAGCACCATACTGCCTTGATTACTACATTGTGGTTTTCTTCCTTCCTTTCTTTTTTTTTTAAAATGTTTCGGTAACTGGCAGGCCAAATCCCTTCCTTAATTTTTTCCCCTAAATTTTCTAGGCTGGTGTGATAACTTTTAGAATTATTTCCACCAGGTTCAATTTTTAAAATTTATTTTTGGAATTCTGATGAAATTCACCTCATTTATACATTAATTTAAAAAGGTTTGATGTCTTTTATATTACTGAGTATAATCTTCTGGGAGTGGGTTATGTCTCATATTTAAATGTTTTAGGTCTCTCAGCTAAGTTTTACCATTTTTTTTCACATGGGTAGAAAATTATAGTCATCAACATTTTAAAGTGCTAGAACTTACTACATGCTAGGCAGCATTTGAGTGCTTTACATGTATTAACTCATTTAGTCCCAACCTGAGGTAGTACTATTATTACTTCCATTTTATGAATGACGAAACTGAGGTACAAAGAGGTTGAACAACTTGCCCAAGGTCACACAGATGATAAGTGCTCAATAAGTATTTGATGACTGGAAGAGTATACAAAAGAAAATAATAATACTGAATTTAGAAAAGAACATAAACTACCTGACACTGATTTCTTCATCATTTCAGTTCTTCATCATAAACTATCCGGTTTAGGATCTTCTGCATACCTTGTATTAGTTAATCTTACAAAAGCCCCACAGAGTAGCTGGCCTTATCATTAGGAATAATGAATGGGCAATTACTTGCACAATGCCTGGCACACAGAAAGGGCTGAATAAATGGTAGCTATTATTACTGTAATTGTTATTATATATTTATTTTTTTATTGAATAAATCTGACATGTCGTGTTCTGTAAGTTTAAGGTGCACAGCACATTAAAACTGGTTTAAGGAGAATCCAAAGATAACACATACATGAGTTAGATGCAATAATTACCACGAATTACAATGAGTTACAATATGAACCTGAAAAGTACTAGCTAATGAATTGCTACAAAACAATTTTTTTCCACCTATCTCTGGGTTCTGAGTTCTTTTGCTTAATGACTATAAGATCTTAAGCAAATACCTTGAAGCTTTCTTGTTCACTATTTTGTCATCATCAAGTAAATGATACTTTCAACTGCTTCATGTTCATTTCATTCTATTCAGTACTATAGCTTCTTTTGTATATTCTTTTAGTTACCAATTATTTACTGATCACCTTCTACATGGAAGTCACTGTGTCAGGCACAAGACAGTTAAAGGCCTTTTTATAATTCATATTCAGTAGGAAAATATATACATATAACTAAATAAATAAAGAAGCTAATTCAAGAGTGGGAGAAGTTATATGATGATTGTGGGAGGATCCTCAAGGGAAGAGATTAGGGTGGCCTGAGAAAAATGTTTAAGGAGATGACCTTTAGCTAAGACCCAAAAGATGAAAAGAAATCGACCTTGTAAAAATTTGAGGAAAGAAGATACCAGAACAGGAGAAGAACAGGTACGAAGGCCCTCAAGCAATGAAGAGCTTGGCTCCTGAAGAAACAGAAGAGTCCACAATGGCCAGTAAGTATCAGGAAGATCCGACTGACAAGTGAGATAGAAGTGGAAAATGTAATGCAAACCGTTTAAATGTCTTTGCATACTTCACTACTTAAATACCATGGCCCTTAAATAACACTTTATGAACCATGAATTTAACTTCCTGGTTAGGAAACCACAAAAAATTGAAAGGGTCTTATTCCTGCAGCTAAAATCAGATATACACACATTCACACATGTACGTATACGTGTATTTTCAGGTATAGGGATGTTTGAAAACATTTCAATACAAAACTGCTAGTAAAACTTTTTATCAAAGGATATCAAAATGTGTTATAAACATATGCTTGATCAAACATATAGTCAAGTGCTTGAGTAACATATAACAGAGGCTGTGGTGACCATCTCTAGACCCCAACTGCCAATAAACTATTCAACATTGCAATTGTAGATTTTTGCCTTCCACTTAATCTTGTAGGAGACAAAACCTGCCACATATAAAGTTAATGTGGCATAGCATCTATACAGAAGGTTGTCAGATGGAAAGAACACTGGGCTTGCACATGGAGCCTTGTCCGCTCCATTTCTGATCACTGTACTCAAATCTAAGACCTATTGCATGACTCTATTATCCCCATATGACCACTGGAGAGTTATAATGACTCAATACATTTTACAGTGAGTTCTCAAATTGGTTCCCTTTGGTCATTTCTCTATTTAAAGAAAGTCCAAAGATATTGTTACTTAACAGAAATTCTACAACAAAGCTTCACTGGAAAAGACGAAGTTAAATTAAAAGTTCCTCAATCTGTGGATTCTAATAAATCACTCCTCATTATCATTACCAACTTAAAAGTGATTAATTTTGCTAGCTGCAAAAGCAAAGTGATTTAAAATGACATGTTACATCAATCTATCAGAGACAGACTAAATATGATGTCTTCAGTGGTTTAACAATCTTTGAAATACTGTCATCCTAATTTTCCCCACAGTATAAATAGATTAAGCCCAAATATAAAATACAGTTCTGAACTCCATAAACTAATGAGCAGCACCAGCCTTCAGCTCCCATGAACTCCAAGGAAAAGGGCCAAGGGCAGCAATGAGAATAGAAGAGCAAACATAAAAGAACACTAAAAAACTAAGAATGATCTGAAAATGTCAAAGCACCACAAAACAATGACACCACAAAGCAACAAATGTTTTAAGCTTCTCTTTCTTCACAGTGTCTTCACTGAATGCTCCCTCTATCTGTCTCTTCCTCATATTTTAAACCTGGCTCTCCCCTGTGGTGGACTCTTCCTTTCAAGCGTCCACAGTAGAGCCCGCACTCTTCTCTAACACCTCATGCACCTCAAGGAGAGCAAAGACTTTTGTAACACAAGCTTCCCAGCTCTGAGGGTAAGTGAGTGAGTGAATGGACACCTCTGAGTAGGGAAGCACAGGGAACTGTCAGCTCCACCTACTCGTCCACCTTATTGCAACAACCTCTCCTCCTCCATCTCCGTCTATCAACTTCTTAGTCACTCTCACACATTCCCTGAAAACCCTGGCCCTTAAATAACAATTTTAGGTGCCATTCCATGGCAGGAGATTTCAAAATCTGGGTATATTCACTGAGCCAACACCTTTGTCCCATAATTCATTACCCTGATCAAATTCAACGAACTTCCTGCACATGAAACTTAAGCAACTAATTCTGATAGCCACAGCCTAGGATCAGTGGTAAGCATATCACAATCTCCTGGAAGGCGTATTAAAACACAGACTGCTCCACCCCCAGAGTTTCTGGTTCAGAAGGTCTGGGTGGGGCCCGAGAACCTGCATGTCTCATGAGTTCTCAGATGATACTGCTGGTCCCAACACCAACTTTAAGATCCACTGGTTTAGATTTTTTCATTACCCAGAAATGGTTAACATTCAAACCATTCTACCTCTGATAGGTCAGACTTCACTCCCAATATACCTGCTATTCCATCACAGTGCTGCTCAAAATCTACTTGTTCTCAGCTGATAATTCCTTTCATCCTGTATACCTGCTATTCTCAATGCTGACCACTTTCCTCAGGGCCCTTATCTACCCTCTGCCATATTTATTCTCAACAGATCACCTCAACTCTTAATTAGAAGAAAAAACAGAGCTCAGGAGGCAGGAAATTACTTTACTCTCTGTGACGTGCTTTCACACTTTCTCCACTTTGGTAACTAACTTCACCTCCTTCCTGCTAGCCTCTGAAGAATATCCTGTCTCCAGTCCAAGACAACATTTCTACTTACCTTCTCAATCCTATACTCTACCATGGCCTCAAATCTCTGCTCCATCAAACAGTACTTGTCATGCCTATAATTTCAAACTCTTCCTAGCTGCTATTAAAGCATATGTATTTTTAATTTCAATAGATGCCAACAGACTGCTTTCTAAAATGACTGTTATATCATGAAAGGAAACTGGAAATTTTATTTCCAGAAGAGGTTAAACGGAAGAGGTTTTGGGTCAGGAATCTTAGGCCAACTGAAAACAGAAGCACTATACTGAGAAGAGCTTTGATTAACTGTTACTAAACACTGAAACTTCCTACCTTCTTTCCCTTGTTCAGCCCTGAACATTCACAAACAGGTTTCCACTCCTCAAACAGGATATTGGGAGATTCCTTCCTAGGAAGACTGAATGACCCAAGAAATAGGTAGAGATAACTGAAAGCTGGAAATTCTCCAGTGAAATGCTGGGTCCCTACCCAATTACCCTTACCCTAGCGTGGGATCTAGGGTGACCAGCCATCCTGTTTTGCATAGGACTGTTGTGGTTTTAGTACTGAAAGGCATGTGTCCTTCAATAAAATCTCTCAGACTACAATAGCTGGTCACTCTAGGCACACCTGAGGACAAGCCTCATCCCTGAACACAAAGATTCCAATAGCTGTTTGTGTCTTCCTCTTAAAAATGAAAGGGTAGTCAGGATTACCAGACATTTGAGGAAAAACAAATGCTAATGCAAACAAACAGAAAAAGGAAGAAAGTAAAAACTCTAATAATGCAAGAAGCCAAAGAAAATGATAATTTACCCATGAAACAGGTGACTATAAAAAAAGAAGAGAGGGGCGCCTGGGTGGCGCAGTCGGTTAAGCATACGACTTCAGCCAGGTCACGATCTTGCGGTCGGTGAGTTCGAGCCCCGCGTCGGGCTCTGGGCTGATGGTTCAGAGCCTGGAGCCTGTTTCCGATTCTGTGTCTCCCTCTCTCTCTGCCCCTCCCCCGTTCATGCTCTGTCTCTCTCTGTCCCAAAAAAAATAAATAAACGTTGAAAAAAAAATTTAAAAAAAGAAGAGAAAACATAGCTCTTAGGATTGAAGTATATGACTCTCTGGTTTAAAAGGGTACACAAAAACCTATAGTGTATGAAAAAAATATCCATACAACGTGCTTTATGGTAAAGTTTCAGAATCTTAGAACAAAGAAAAGATCTAAAATGCTTTTCCTTGCAGGTGAGCTTCAAATACAAAAGATAAAAAATCAGAATGATATCAAGACTTCTCAAAAGCAGCTCTGGACCATGGAAAACAGCTAAAATGCCCTCTAAATTCTAAGGAAAAATTATCTCCAAACTAGAAGTTTAAGACATTTTCTGACATGACAGATCTTTAAAAGATTACTTCCCATGTACCTCTTCTCAGGAAGTTACTAAGAGATGTGCTTAACCAATAAAGCAAGAAATAAGAAAATGTGGGATCCAGGAAATGGAATCTAACTCAGGAGAAAAGTGACAGGAATTCCCAGCATGGCCTGGGCAGCAGACCTACAGAGCAATCAGTCCACACTGGAGCCAATGAACTGAGAGTTCTGGGAAGCGTATCTCCAAAGAAACAAAACAAAACAAAACAAAAATGAGAAAAACAAAACCAAAACCAGGCTGATTACTCAAATGCATTAAAAGGACTTTTTTTCTCATTTCCTAGAGAATAATTTTAGGATAAATTAGTGATTCAAAAGTAGAAAACTAAGCAAATAAGACAATAATTAGCTCAGAGAGAACAACAAGAAAAAAATGTACAAAAAAAGAAATGCAATCATAATACCTCATTGGCTTAGCTATATACGGTATGATATATAGTCACAATTTCATTCTTAATCTTAATCTTTAAGGCTGATATGTATCTATCTATCTCTATATAGATATATATATATCAGATAGATATATCTATATAGAGATATATAGAGATATCTATCTATATATCTATAGATATATCTATCTATATAAAGATATATCTCTATATAGATATATCTCTATGTAGAGATATAAAGATATATAGAGATATATCTTTATATCTCTACATAGAGATATAGATAGGGGCGCCTGGGTGGCGCAGTCGGTTAAGTCCCATTGTGGTCACGATCCGACTTCAGCAGGTCTTGATCTACATGTGAGTTAAATTTCTCGCCGGGCTCTGGGCTGATGGCTCAGGCCTGGAGCCTATTTCCCAGCCCCTCTGTCTCCTCTCTGCCCTCCCCGTTCATGCTCTGTCTCTCTCTGTCCCAAAAAATAAATAATAAAAAAAAAAAAAAAAAAAATAGTAAAAAAGAGATATAGATATATAGAAACATAGAGATATAGATATATAGAGATATATCTTTATATAGATAGATATCTATTCTCACTCTCTCTCTCTCTCTATATATATACATATAATATGTTCTAACTTACAAGTTTAAAAGGGCTTTGAATATCTATGATCAAGAAACTACCCCGGACATTCTATTGATAGTGATTCTGCAAAAGTCACAAATGACCCAGCTTCCACATCTCAGAATAAATAAACGTTCCACAGTAAACTTACAATCATCTTGGAATGAGACAGAAAAAATTATTTAGAAAAATGTCACAAATTTGGCAGTTCTAATTATTCTAGGTATTAAGAAATTTTAAAAAGTTTACAAAACTATATGCATACTTCCAATTATGATTTAAAATGTATATGTAAGAGTCTCTTACGGTTTGGCTCCCTCCCTCTCTTTTTTTTTT